ATTGTTTTACTGTGGAGAGTTGTTGGGCTAGCTCAGATCGATACTGTTGAGCTATGGCAGTTCTTCGAAGGTAGTGGATTGTCATGCTTCTCGCTGACTTGCGAGCGCCTGAAGGGACACGAACTGTCAAGCGTGCGCGCACCATGGCGTGACAGCCCGTTTCCTTCAGGCCCTCGCAAGTCGGCAAGAATCATGCCAACCCCGGACATGATCATTTTATGTCCTGTGCAAATGATATATGAATCTACTGGTATTTGAAGTCAGCCGCTTGTGGCATAATGTAAGATTTTTGTACACCTCTTAGTGTCCAGAAATTTTATGGAATCTTGTGGAAGTGTAAACCTTTTTAATACGCTTCAATCATTCGGAACCTGGTCCTTATGCACCCGACCGTTCGGAATCTATAAATTTCGAATTCGGATGAGCTACTGAAAAACGGGAAGTAGGCACAACTTACCCATCGCAGAGGATGCTGGGATCAGGTTAATATACGGATGTGATGCTCAAAATGCTGATAGTATGACGGTGTAGCTTTTAGGAATAATACTAACGAGATAAGCTGAAACAACTCAAGGTATTCACCATAGCATCTGTTTGAAACCTGTGGTGACTTCACATTCAAAGTAGAGTTGAATAAATCTACTCTCTTCGTGATATTACAAAGGCCTTCAAGTAGACAATTGCTCAGCTTCGAAGTGACGGAGACTGGACTTTGCTTGCTGCTGAAACAGAGTCCCCAGATAAAATAATCTAGATAGCACACCTCCGGGAGAGGATCGCGTACGTTTTTCTGCTGTTTTGTCAGACGTGGACAGATTTCTGCCTCACGTTTTCTTCGAACAAGCAGCATTTAATCGAGATGACTGCAACCTCGGGTGGTTGTTCTTTGCTGTAAGTGAATACAAACGTATGCCTTAAAAGAAGTGGATGAGTTTGAACCTTCACCTTACTGACCTACATGCTAGAAAATCTCGATTGGGCGCGTCCTTATTTGTTATTCGGCCATTATCGGCCATTACTCCTTGACATCGCTGCATTTTTCCTATTTCTTTACGGTTGGTGAATTTCATAAAGAACTAAGTTTTCCTTCGTTGGGATGCCTTTTAAATAGCTTTTATGGTGCAGATACAATGGAATATAACTAAATACTGAAAGTAGTTATAAATAAAATGAATTGATGTCACCAAGTTTCAGTAAGCTTCGATTATAGAGAGGGGGTTGGAGACAAAATCGAAAGTGACACCTGTGATTACTTTGCGAGGGCAAGGACTCGGTTTCGGGATCGAAATCGGACCCACAGCCTTCTTGACGATAATCCTGTTACAGATGAAGCTACTTTCAGATTGTCACTAGTAAAGAAAAAAGACGTACTCATTGCTGCTGGTCCTGTAGGTGAGCGACAAACATCAAGGCAATTTCACGGAAAAACCTGCATTTTGCACTATTCTGCCAAAGAAATTCGTTTGTTTAGTCAAAAGTTAATCCAGTTTAGCCAGTGCCTCAGTCTGGAATTTGTGAACAAATTCTTTTGCTGAAGGAACTTGGTTTGTAAATGATGAGCTTCGAACAATGAATTACATAAAGCATGATGTGATTTTCAAAAGTTTCTGGAAGACCCCTATTGTTTTGAATATTGCAGTACACAAATACATATTGTTTTGTGATTCAAGTTTTTTTGTTACTTGAATATATCTTCCAAGATGGCAATATTTGACAACTTCTCCCATCGGAAAAAATCAAGACACCCTGCTTTAACAAAACGTCTAGCAATCTTTTGGATGAATCCCGTGTGATTGTCACTATAACTCACACCACCCGTGCACAAACATCATAAGAGATGGTTTTATGATGCAGGAATAATGGCAGCAACACAGATTGGGGAACATAAAGAAGTCACCTTTTGAAAGCTACATTGGGTTGGAGGTAATGCTAACAACTCGAAGAAAATGTACTTCGGTAATCTGTTTAATTATTGGTAGCTCAGGTGAGTTCATTGGTTGTTGATCAGGTGGCTGTTGATCTGTTCACCGAGCTTGGCAATTGGCTTGCAAACGTTTCGTCACCATGCGAGGAGACTTCATTAGTCCGCAGTTAAGTGGGTACTACTTCCTTGCCTGCGTGCGTTTATACAGCAGTCGAAGGCTATCTGTTATCTTCTGACGTGATTGGCTACTTAAAGTGTAACAAACTTGATGAGTCGATTGGTCCGTTTGTGAACTTTGTTGCGTTGTGGTCTGCGTTCCCTCGTGTTGATTGTTTATCCTCACGTCTTCTATTTTTAGTAGTTTGCTCTCTCCGGCCTCAGTTTGTATCGCGTTGTGGTGTGACGTTCTTGAGTTTGATTGGTTGCTTGTGCCGCCCTATTTCCTCCACCGTGGCGGTCAGTGTCCCTTCGTCCGTCGGTTGATTTGGTGCTTTGATTGGTCGCTTCCTCCAATCTAATTGATGTGTCCGTTTGAATGATGTTTTTCTCTTCTCTTATGATTTCCTTGTCTTGTTGATTTTGCAGCTCTAAGCTCGGTGGTTCTGGAGTTCTTTCGCCCTTAGTGGCTGGTAAATGGGACCAATTTCGATATTTTTGTTGATGGCCTCTTTGGTGAAGTACCATGCTTCCATAAATACGCGTTCATTTCCAAATTCGTTTCTTCAGAAGATAACAGTTAGCCTTCGACTGCTGTATAAACGCACGCAGGCAAGGAAGTAGTACCCACTTAACTGCGCACTGATGACGTCTCCTCGTATGGTGACGAAACTTTTGCAAACCGATTGCCAAGCTCGGTGCACAGATCAACAGCCACCTGATCAACAACCAAGAAAATGTACTTCGGAATCAGTTGAACCATACAGAAACGGATTTGTAGAACATGTTCTATAAGATGAGAGGTCCGTACATCCAGGCGTAATTAGCATAAGGTAGTATTTTGTTGAAGATAAACAACAACAAATTTGGAGGTCAGTGAGAACTTGATATATTCGGTAGATGGAGTTCACGTTATACTTATCCACCATTAGAGTAGGAAGGCTGGATGCTTCTGTCAGTTTTTTTCTTAAGAGTTTACACTGTCTGTTTACTCTTTCCATCACTTGCTCCTTGCTAGACCAAATCCCTAATACATATTTTGCATCAGTTCAGATCACTCCATCAGCAGTAGGCTACCTAGATTCGGGTTAACACTACTCGGAATTATTACTGGAAAGTTTCGCCGACAAAAGTGCGTCAAGTGATGATTGAGTATCTTTTACACCCCACATACGCCAGGTTTTAACCAAAGGACTAGAAGTAAAATTACGAAACCAGCCGCTGTGTGTACTCCAACTGTTTGTTGAAATTACGAGAACACATCCTCATTTCAATGAGACGTGGATGGAAGAATATAATGAAAGGGGCATCGGGTTACATTTACCTAAGACTACCAGGTGCTCTCAGATGGATCAATGATAGTTCAATTCAAATTTTACTGCTCAGGTGTCCACTGAATTCATACTGCATTCTCTACACCTCAGTCGGCCAGCGATCACCCAAGTTACGCCTTTCTAATTGACTACTGATTCCTTTACCGTCTTTCTTCGTAGAACTATGCAAGTACCAAAGTGAACGAACGACTGTTGTACATTGTTTTATTCTTACAAATTAGGGCTGCCCGTAGTTAGGGGCAGTTAGATCCGGATGAAGCCGAATTGAAAGCTTTTTTGAAAACGGATTAGAGCTACAGTTCTTCCTCGGCTGTTAGTGGCACCCCTTATTTTACCTGGGTGGTTGGGACTTGCTCAAGTTAAACAAGTTGAATAAACACAAATCAGAATGACTGTGGCTGATTACGTTTAATGAGTACCACAAACCGGCATGTGAGTTTCGCCATTCAGTATCGTCATGAGCCCCAGAATATAAATCACACCGTCTGGCATTTTCGCTGAATAGTCGCCACATAGAGCATTCTTCAGTTCGAAGAGGACACGAGAAATACTTTCCAATCCCACTGGAGAAGTGGAACGCTTGCCCTCAGCTTACTCACAGAAAACATAGAGGTGTCATGAGAAGAAATGCTGGCAATTCCTAATAACGGAAACTATTTTCTTGACAGAAAAAAGAGCGACAGATCATCAGAGTTCTCCGAAATGTGCCAATGTAATCTTGGTTGTTGCTCTGAGGTTGGTCCTTACACTGATACGGGTTTAATTACTCTCCATCTTGCTTGATTGTGTAACTTGACTGTGTGAGAATGTACCCCCAGGAACGTTGCTTGCTAGCCAGCGAATCGTGCAAGGCTACGTAATAATTCCATAAAATATCTTACAACACTGTACTCTTGCTAATTTCTGAACAAATGTAGGTAAGTGACGGACACGTGATTAAGGGAACAACAAGTGAACAGAAGATTCGGTCTACTGCACACCCTCCACGTATTCCACTGTTTCCTTTGGTCGTCACACACACATGCAATCAGAACATCTACACCCTCACAGCCTGTGCCGTTTAGCAACGGTAAGCAGTACATTTTAGTGCGCCCCTCCCTTGTCAAAATAAAAACCATATTCATCTGGTGGGCCATCCTGAATTATGCTGCCTGATACACGACAGAATGAAAAATCAGGGATATATAATGGAAAAGTTCTGCTGTGGGCTATAGTTGAGCACGAATGTACTGTGATTCTCCCCAGTTTATGGTAAGTTAGTGCATGTGTTTTGTTCACTTTGTCAGGTGTCATGTATTTGTTCTCTGTCTTGCTGCTAGCCATTAAGAGTAATGCATCTTACTGTGTTATTCATCATTCTTTGGGTGACTGATTGATTGAACCATTCAGATGGAATAGGAACGTGCTAAAACCTTCGCATATATAAACAAACGACATAAAAGTCTGTGTCAAATCTTATTGGTCATCAGAGTGGATCTACTGGCAGATCGATGAATCCAGAGGCATGTATGAATCACCAACTTGTCTTGTATGACAACTTACTTGCTTCTGGCATCTCTTTGGAACAGAAAACAGATATATGATCATTTCAGAATTACAGAACCTTTATTCCCATCAAGTCAGAAACAGTTAGCCCAGAGAACAATGATAGAACGTCCCTCTGAAGACTGGGCATGATCGCCCTCTGGTTTTAAGCAACTTACTCAGCAAATTTGTAAGAAATCAAACGATACGAGTAGAAATATACACAACAAACATGTTCTAAATTGCCGGAAAAGAAAGTACACTACCAGGAATAAGTAGCAGTGGGGACATCTGGTACTTCTCTAGTAAACCCTTTTGTCAACGAATTTTAAGTTAATCACATTTAGGCCATTCAGAAGGAAAGCAGACGGTACATTTATAATTTCAACAATGCGCGCTACATAACCCGATGCGAAGAGCCCTCAGACGTCAATTGAAAGAGAGCTTGCGATCCGACCGTGAATTATGGTGGACACAGAAAGTCAAAGAAATGGAAGAGGCCCAGAAAGCCGGTAATGCCCGGAGATTATTTCAGTTAATCCGTGCGACCGGTCCCCGGAAACCACCTGTGAGTGAAAGCATCAAGCATCAGAATGGAACGACCATCTCGAATAAGGAGGAACGCCTTGACCGGTGGGCTGAATACTTTGAGCAACAAATGTCTTGGCCACCAGCCAGCACTCATCTGCAGCCCACAGGTGAATTAGAACCCTGGACGGTGAACGTGGAACCACCTACGGCCTCAGAGGTTTACGACTGCATATGTTCTCTCAAGCGCCACCGAGCTCCCGGTCCGGATGACCTCCCACCTGCACTGTTCAAAGACGGAGGTGAAATCCTCAGTCACCGCCTGTCCGACTTGTTTGCTTGCATTTGGGAAAAAGAGTCTGTCCCAGACAACTGGGGAGAATCGGTGATAGTGCCCATTTTCAAAAAAGGGGCGCGTAGTGAGTGTGGTAACCACAGGGGGATCAGCTTGACCCCGGTTATAACGAGACTGTTGGCGTCAATTGTGATTCGTCGCCTTACGGTGGCTCGTGAGATACTGACCCGAGAGCAGCAAGCGGGATTCCG